CCCTGACTTTGTGCAAGTGTACAAAGTGTGCAAGTGTAAGAATTGATGCTGGTTTGAAGCCCAAGAGTAGTCACACTAAATATTTGATTTAGATTTTTCTTCTGTTCTCTCACTTTGCATTTTGTCAGTTGATAAACATAAACAATTACAATATCTATTTTTGAAAGCATTCTTACTTTACAGCATTTTTTCACATCTGCCTAAAAATTTTGCACAGTACTGTATGTTCTTTATTAATCCATTAAATTAATAATAATACCTTTTTGTAGGGCTTAACAATTTTAAATAGTGAGATTTATTGAAGTTAACATTTTTGGGGTCTAGAGGCACAATTTTTTTTGTTGCCTATAAACATTATTGAATGAGAAACTAAATTTCAAGTAGAGGTTAGTGAAAATAAAGTTGTTGGTTTTTTTCATCCAAGTTCATCAACCCCCTGAAATCAGAACTCCTGATTTAAAGGCAAAGCTCAAAAAGCTTTCGCTTATGTGATTTGCATCTTAAACCATGACTGGTTGAATCATACATTATTATTAATTGCTTGTCATACCCTAAGTTAAAACCAAAAGGCTGTATTTTAGTTTAGCATGATTTATTAATTCAACTACTGTAATGGGGTAGGATAAACAAATACACAAGAAGCCCCTCTCTATTGTTGAACTGGTTACTCAGCTATCCCAACTAGAAAAAATAATTACAACTTAAAAGAGAAGCAGCCACTGCCTTTGCCTGCTTATTTACTCCTATATCATACTAAAATAAAACATGATGGTTTTCAAGTTTATGGTATATTGTGATGTGTAAATCCAGCCCCATTCAAAAAGATGCCCACCGTTTTGTCTCTACCCTCTCAGGGCCACAAAGAGGATGTCATGCAGCTATGGGCTTCCATGGGGGAGGGGAAGTGGGGGCGGGCACAAGGATGAGGAGATGATGATGTGTATCATGACATTATCATGCAAATAATGCAACTTACCTACTTGCATCAGAGGTATCATTTGTAATGGCATATGGGAATGACCTTGGGAGACAGGGAGAAGAAACCCAGCCAAGGGAATGGTCAGATAAAAGGCAACTTAGCCTGCAGCAGGAATATGGGCGGGGCAAGCAGCTCTAAAGGGACCCTCCCTAGTTTCTTGGGCCATAAAGGGGAGTGCAGAGGGAGAAATGTACTTTCAGACTTGCAAGTTTCTGTTAATGTAACCTTACAATAAAGGAGAAATAGCTCATCTGGCCGTGCTTCCTGTCTGTCTACCTCACAAGGCTGACATCATTACATTATTGCACCATTGATGCAATGATACAACACTGGGTGGTTCTTTTGATATCATTGTGGCTTGTTACAGATGCCGCTCCATGCAGCCCCTTGGCCCTTTTGCACCCCAGTTTATAGCGTGAAGCGCGTAGGTGAGAGGGCTGGTCGTTTTGTCCCTCGCCCTCCTGCTGTGGGAGATACCAAGCGCAGGGTGGTGTTTGCGTGCGTTTTTCTGTATCATGCCAATGCACCATAATGTATGCCCAGGGCGAGTGAGTAAGAAAAAAGGGGAAGGGATAGAAGCTGTAATGTTTTCTACTGTAAGGAAATCCTTGCCCTTCCGAGGAGTAACAAAACTCAAAAGCAAACTTTTGAGTCCTCCTGTATCCGGAGGAGGTGGTTGTTTGTCCCTCGAGCGGGATTAAACGCTCTTTTCCAAATATTTGTTCGGTCTCATGTAACTCTGAGTCAAAGCACTATTGCACAACTACCATACATGACGTGTGTGTGTGTGGGGGGGACAATTAGTAAATACATTGTACTCTTCTATTTGCTACAACTAGGTCCCGTAAGATAAGCTTAAGCACTTTTAATGACGAGTCACATGCCGCTGAATAAAATGGGATTTGGCCAGCCCCCGGTAAAACGTAAAGCGGCGTTAATTTCTAAGCAGCACGGCTGGCCCCACGCACAACCTTCCTCTCTTCCTCAGTCCCACGCTCCAAGTATGTAAAAGCGAAATGTTTTCTGGCTTCTACGCCCATTTCGCCCATGGGCGCTGCTGGGAGTTGTAGTCCACATGTAATGTTAGCGATGGGCGCGATTGCCACTGAAACTATACTTCCCAAGAGCTATTGCTCCGCATTCCCCTCCTCCTCCTGGCCTGCCGCCGAAGGGGCGTGCGCAGCGATCCTTCCTGGCTTGGCCGCGACGCGGACACGGACGGCTGCTGAGGGAACGGGGCGCTCGCTGTCATGTCCCTTCTGCTGTGCGGGGCTCGCCTACTGGGCGCCCGGGGTTTCAGGCTCCAGTCTGGGCCACGCTGCTCCAGGATGTTCTGTTCCGGCGCCTTGGAATCGCCCTCGGGCCGCTCTTCCCGCCGGGGTGATTCAGGCCGGTGGCAGCGATCGGTGTTCGCCTGGCCCGCGGGAGCCACGGCGGTGCTGGCCGGACGGGGCCTGGTGCGGCGGGGGGGGGGGGAGGGGGAGGACCCGCGCGGGCGGGGGGGACCCCCGAACCCACAGGAGGCAGCGGGGGGGGGGGGGGGGGGG